GATAACAACTAGAGACTGACACAGCACCACCCAGAACTCAATCAACAAATGGAAGAGTCAAGAACAGAATAAAACTATAAGAACAAATTCAGAGGATCTGGGAGGTCAGTTTATGATCAAAACAATTACAATGTGAACAAATGTGAACACATAGGAACAGATATCCAGGTGGTAAGGTCAAGTAGATTACAGGATAAAATAGACTGTCTTAAATAGAGAGAAGTTAATGGAATATAAGGTAATTACAAGGGTGGGGTTGGGGTGGAGGGTTTAGGGGGAGGTGGAGGGAGGCAATGGTAGAGCACAGGGTAGGGGACAGACACATCATAGTTTGGGTGTTGGGGAGGGCAATACAAGAAGGGGGAGGAGGTGGAAGAACAAGATAGATAGGGGAACACTAAGACAGGTTTGCATGGGCTAAATGGGACAGAGGTAAATAGTGATTCATGCTCATCCTTGGAACAACAGGGCTCTGTGATACAGGGATCTAGGCATAGTTTGAAGAGGGGAAATAATACTAAGATGCTTGACTGTCTCATGAATATTGGTTTCCCTTGCCTACTGTTGTAAAACAGACACTAGAGTGGGACAGAAAGGAATGTTGGGAAACATACAGAAAACTTGTAACTCCGTCTTTAGTCTATAACTGATTGGAATACCTAAAAGGGGTTCTACAGCTTGCCTCTTGCAGAGCCTTTGCAGTGTATAGGACCTTAGGAATCCTGAGCCTCATCCATAACATTCTGAGATGGGACATTTCCATTAGAAAGGACAAGCAGACCAGCCTGGAACAGCTAGAGCAACAGAAGATACATCTTCAAAGAAAGATCATCAGGAAATAAACAAGCCAAAAATGGCAGAATGACTGGCTAGTATAAGAATACGCAAGCTGTTCAGCAGGAAGCCATCAAGGCAAGCAATCAAGTTACTTCAGGACAAATCCCCCTCTAAGACTGAAACTCAAAGGAAACACATGAGCAGCCATGTAAACTTACTGATGACCACATTGGTCTACTGGTGAGTGGAAGAGGGGGAAAGGCAGCAATGAAGAAATGGGCTGAGTTCAACCACATTCCATAGACTCCCACTGACCTGGAGATAAGAGAGAGAAGAGGAAGAACTGTTTGGTACAAAGTGTGGTGAGACCCGGGGACACTTGAGCCCATGGACAAGGACATAGCCACAGAGGGCTAGAGCTGAGAGTGAAGCATCTAGTTGATACAAAGTGAGGGGAGATGCACAAGAACACCCAAACTTGCACACATTACTCATTCGACCTAGCCTTGATGGCTTGATAATCAGGACTCAACTAGAGAAAGATAAAAAAAAAAAAAAA